ATTTTTTTTTGTGTCTGTCATCACCTTTTAGGACAGTAAAAGTGCTTGGATTTTCTTCAACAGTATCTTTTCTGACAGAAAAGTTAATGTAGTTTTTACTTTGTGGAGTCAAAAGTAAAAATTTCCTAGTAGTTTTCAAAAGCGTCGTGAAAAACAAAAGAAAACTTAAGGAAAAACGGGAATTTTTACTCAAATTTTCGAGAAAATCGATTCTGGTTTTTGGTGCAACTCTAAAACAAATGGACGTAGATACATGAAATTTTTACTGACTGTTTATATTAGCATTTTTTATACAAAATGCTTTTTTAAAAATATTTTGAATTATTTTGAGCTGTTTAGGGACATTTTGAATTTCCAATTTTTTTGTTTTTATTCTATAAATATCAATAGAATATTATTTGTTTTGTACAAAAGCTTGAAAATTTAATAGAAGGCTCCTACTATATTGTTACAATAGTAGTTCAAAAAGATTAAAAATCCTTAGTCACAGTTTTTTTTAATAAGCATTTAAAGTTCAAATCTTGACAAAATATGAAAAAATCACGAAAATTAGCAAATTATTTTGAGTTGAGAATTCATAAATTTTTTTCTTTTTAAATCTAATATTTGAAAAGTAATACAAGATTACTCATAAGCTTACATACCTTTATCAAAAAAAAAAAATGTCTACAAGCAAATCAAATTACATTTTTATGAGCCTTTGAAGTTCATATTTTTACAAGATTGGATATTCACTCGATTTTTCATGTAGCGGTTTTGTTATTATTTTTTTTTTTTTTATTAGGGTTGAGGCTTCGACAACAAAGATCATTAGCCTGTGGTACTGTAGGGGGGGAACTGTAGGTTGTTAACACGTGTGTGGGTTTTGGCAGAATTTTCGATTTGGGCACCCGCAGGTATCTGCCATGCCCGGGTGGGGGATGGCGGCATTTGTTCTCCGGACACCATGACTTGCCCGAAGAAAAATGCCGCCCGTGACCACGGGATCGAACCGGCGCCGGCAGCGTCGCAACCAACGCCTTAGACCACTCGGCCACTCCGTTCCCCTTTTGTTATTTTATTGTTTTCCAAAAACGAATAACTGTAGATACATGAACATTTTACTGAATGTTTATATTTTTATTTTCTTTACACCAAAAAAATTTGAAAATATTTTGACTCTTTTTGAGATGTTTACGGAAATTGTTAGTTTTCAATTTTCTTAGTTTTTTTTTCTATAAATATCAATAAAATTTTATATGGTTTGTAAAAAAGCGTGAAAATTTAATTCAAGGCTCATGGTATATTGTAACAATAGCAGTTGAAAAATATTAAAAACACATAGGCACAATTTTTTTTTATAAACATTTAAAGTCAAATTTTGACAACATTTATCATATTTGAAATTTAGTAATTATTTTGTAGTTAAAAATTTATAAAATGTTCAACTGCTAATAGCTAAGGATTGAAAATTTAAAACAAGATTCCACGTAAATAGTTTATATATAAATTACTTTATTCACCTTGATATCATCAAATATACTTAGTAATATCATAGGCTGACTGACCGTTTTCGCTCAGATCGTTTTTCTTATAGAATGATATTATATTATCATTGAATTCAAATTTAACACCATCCATTACAGCAACTCATTTGTTGCCTACTGTACAGCAGAGCGCCTTTTTTGAGTTTGTCTTACAAGGTTCTAAAATTATTTAAAATACAAAATATGCACTATTTTTTTTGTAGTAATTTAAAGTTCAAATATTGATAAAATTGGATATTTAAACATAAAATACCGATTTTACTTATTTTGTTAGAGTTTAAAAATTAGGTAGGTATCAATCACAGGGTCTTAGAAATGTTTTCACTTCCAATTGTATATCTTATTATTTTCTTTACCTACATAAAAACTTTTTCAAATATATTCAACGATTTAATTCAAATTGTGCACATCCATTACGTAATTACTAATTACTCAATTTCTAACTATATATTCAAAACCTATACAGCTAACAGACTTCCCCGGGTATCATTTATATTTTTGTCAATATGCCAAATTGTCATGGTTATTTTAATTTTATCTTCCTCTTAATAACTGTGTATTTACATGTCAAAATAAAGCAAAATCAATTATTGTTTATTTTTTTTAAAATTATTTTTCATTTTTAAAACCTAAATATAGTTACTCAAATAAAATTATTTTATAATTTTAACGGTTTAGCCTTCTAAATCATCGCAGGCACCTTCTACATTGACATTATTATGTGGTACAATACGTACTATTGTTTCATGGCTGCCTTTACGTAGTGATAGGATGTGACTTTATGTAAGAAATGTACATTTACAACTCCGCATAAATTTTAGTTCGCTGTGGTAGGACAATAGTACATACAACGCATACAGGAACAGCACTGCAACAAAAATATTATTATAAATAGGGCAGTCATTTCAATTGAAATACAACGGTCACTGAACCTTACGCTCTTATGAGTTATGACTTAACTACTTTAGATACAACTACATAATCACCAACTTCGTCTTCGCACTCACATTCAATAATCCCATATAGTCGAAGTTGAAGGGACTGAAAAATGTCGAATTATCGAAAGTTCGATTTTCCAAGGGGACCGAAATATTGTGAAGGACGAAAAAAATTGAATCTCGGAGAGTTATGAACAATTTTGTGTAGACATGTCTTGTGCATGTTATAATTAAAGCACGAATTTGTATACAGCTACATATTTATGAATTTTTGTAAATAATCCTTACGAATCATACTAATTACTAATTACTAATTAGTATGATATAAAATATATAATTAATATAATTAATTCGGCCACCTTTTATTTTACATAATTCCATATTTATTGCATAGGTATTTCAATAAAATGTATGTGAACTAAATGATAGTTAATCGATGTGCAATCATACACTAGTTATCACAAGTAAAATTCAGAATACATAGGTTTAAAACTTTCGATAAATAGAGTTCTTCTCAATTAATAAGAAAAAAAATTAACATTATTTTTGGTCTTAAACTTTAAATAGCAACTTTAAAAACAAATTCTACCAGTATTTATGATCAATGATATTACTTAAAATTATAAAGAATTTGGTGCAATCTACCAAGCCCCAGTAATATTAAGCTTATTTAAGTATGCTCCAACCACTTCAATTTATATTGAATAATAGTTTGCAATTTACAAACATTTATTAACTGAAGATATTATTGAATACCACTTAATAATAAAGAATGTAAAATGTACCTACTTTTACCTATATTTAGTCACACAATCATTTGTACTTACTTAGTTAATCATTTTTAAAAAAGTGTTTATTTATTTCATAAAGATGCATATTTATATACTTTTTTCGTTCCAGTTATATTATTTGAATACTATTATTTTTAATGTATATTTTCATATTTTTAACTAAAATTATATGGCATATTATTTAAATTTTCAATACATTTTGTGCATATGAATCCGTGCTCTAGTTATAATATGTGTGTAATAATAATAAATAATATAATAAAAATAATAATAATACAGCAGTGTACTAAGTTAAATATGTCATGAATATGTAAATTAAAATATGATAAGCTTAATAAATAAAAAAGTTTTTTAGAAGAATTATATTTTATTGTTACTAGTTTCCCCCGTGCTCCGCCCCAGTGGATAGTTGATTGCAAATAGTGGTGCTGTTGCTCGTGCAGCAAGATTTGCTTATTTTCTAAATATATATGAATTATATTTCGGTCAAAGTATAAATAAACCAGACCGGTGTGTAATTACAAAATTAACTTGAAATAAGCCTATAGCCTGCTAGTCCGCGATGTACTCTTTCAGTAAAAAAAAAAAATCAAGAAAATTGGATGAGTAGTTTTAGAGAACATTAGACACAAAGATTCCATTTTCACATATATGTATAGGGTATATTTAGCACTTAAATATATTATGAATATAGAAGTATAGATATATTTAGATTGTTGAATTTTACTTCTCGGAACAATTCATATGTACAAGCCGATAAAACACACACAAAAGAAAAAGAACAGGTGGCAGGTAGCTTGAAACCCATAGGTTCTAAAGATACTATCGCGGTCGGTCACGGGAATACCTGAAATACCCCATGCAATTATACTTAAATTTAAGTAGATTAACTTTGTTTCTTGATTTATCAAGAATTTTATACATATTTTTTATTAACAAAAGTGGTACTTAAACCTTCACCAGACTGTCAGGTATAACAGTAAAAAATTTGGTGACGATACGTTGAACGGTGTGGATTTGTATGCGTTTCAAAAAATCGGGACTCGCTTATAGAAGTATAGATAAATTTCGACCAATAAACAAAAATTATTCAAAATTAACAACTACAACTATGACAATCATAACCAAAGCAACCTTACAATAAACAAAAATATATATAAATATGTGTATTTTTCTTCTGGACAGATGGCGCTACTATTTTATTTTTTACTTCCAGATTTCCTACTTTTCCGGTGGATTTTCCTAAAATTTTCTTTCATAAGAACTTTTTCCTGACAATTACGAACACAACAAAAAAAGATCAAGCTGAATCAATCAAGCCGTTTCGGAGCCAACCCGTCACAAAGATTTCTATTTCGCTTTTACAGTATAGATTCTATTTTACTATAGCTTGTAAGTTGAATTAATATTATAAATAACAACAAAATAACTAAAATCGTTATTTTTATTTTTATTAACTATATGTTGAAATCGAAGCACTCCTTCTGATAGAAATTTTGTATACAGGATAAAAAAGTAAAGTAAATAAATAAAATAAATAACACCACTGTAAGACAACTAGATCCCTCGCTCCGCTTAGAATCTAAAATACACTACATGACATGTATTAACTAATAATAGTTTATTGTTGTGCCATATATCACTTAGTCGATATTATATATAACCATATTATTTGAATCATACTTTTTACGTTTTCCCATTATACTACTAATACAGATAGGTCACCCTGCTACCCTGCTTGTATACTAGCCATTTATGAACATAGTTCGATTGTTACTCATCATCATTGCTGCAGTATGATGACTGGCAACATCACGTATGCAGAAATAAAATAGTAGAATCTTACGTAAAAAAATTGCCATGGTCAAATATTCTATTGGGTTAGCTGTAGCAGTAGCTGTATCTTTGTTTTCCTGAGAATCAACACCATCATTCCCAGTAGTTGTTTCTGCTCTATCTTGGCTACTTTCTTGGCTACTATCTTGGCTATCTTCAAATTCCTTTACTTCCTTATTTTTTTTCCCTTCTTTTTTTTTTCGTCGTATCGCCGAATCCGCGGTTTGACGATACATCGCCATATTTTTCCGGTACTTGATGACGCGGGTTATTAAATCGCTCGGCGGACTTTCAGTCGTCGTCCGCTGGTGACGTTCACACCCACACCCGTTGTTAGCACCGACCATCATAGTCGTTTGATTTGAAATGACAGTATTAGCAGCAGAAGAAGCAGCAACAGGGGTCGCTTGGGGGAATACGTTCGTCCTCACTGGGTGAAATGTCTTAAAAGTTATTTCTGGTAAGTCAATTATCGTCCATAACCTTTGAGTATCTTCAGTCGTAGTATCAGTACTTCCGGATGGATCGGGTGCTTCGGTCTTAAAAATGGTTAAAATGTTCAAGTTATAATACATAATATAATTTTATTTTATGTTTTTGGATATTACCAACGTGCTATATCAATTACATATAAAGTTATTTAGATTCACCAAACATTTCAAAAACTACGTTTTGCGATGTTTTTACTTTTTATTAATATAGTACAGATTTAATTTTATATAATAATATTATGATATATGTGTATATAAATATATTATAGTTGTCGCAAAATGATGCCTACCATTCACAAACAGTGACGTACAATAAGAAATAAAAAAAAAAATTGTTTGAAACTATAATATTGTAATTTACGGTGTTATTCGATTGTGAACGTTTTACCTGTATTATAGTAATATGATTGCGAACGATTGACGGCAAATCAAAGAAATAATATTTTATACCTTATATTCAAACAATTTTTAGAACAATGTTTTCATTTATTTTAATTCTTCATATTTTTGTATACAACCTATAAATAATATATTGAATACGATATCGTGATTTACGGAGCCGATATCCTACTGAAAATAATTGTTAATATTGCTTATAGTTAAAATTGTTTAGATAATAAATTCTCCTTCGAATTTAGTTATTTGATGGACAGTGGTAAGTGTAACAGTAGAATAGTGTTTAGTGTTGTGTTATAATGTATGTGTATGTATTGTTACAAAAGGCGGATTAATAATGAAATGTTTCCTTATTATTCCTTTATTTAGTAAAGTTATGCTCCCGTCATGGATACTATTTTCAATTTAATTTTATAAATTTGTAGATACAGTGTTTGTATAAGTTATTTTTACTAATCTAGAATTTTTTTCCCATAGGTTGTGTTGACGTAGGTACTACTGTGCACTTAGGTACATTACGGAGTAATATTAGCCCTCAAGATAATTAAATACAATTTAAAATGAATAACATAATGGAAACATTCAAACATTGATTACTACATAGTGTATTGTATTCTTAAATTCTAAAACACAAAATATCTAATAATATATAATAGAATACAGTGTTATTGGTACATTACGTCATTAACTACAGAGCCTCCTCCGTTGCCGATAAGCCACATAGATGGTGCACATCTCGTTTGGTACGATACACAGAAATCGCTGTATAATATTTTAACAGTATTATTAATATTATTGTGATGATGATAGTGTGTGATATTATATTACGTTTTCTGCATGAGTATTTTGAAGTATAACGATAAAACTAGCCACACAATAAGGAAGATGGCCCAAATACAAATTGACACAGCTATCAATGGTCTTGACCTCTACGATTAAATTGAGTATATATTAGTTAAATGTTAAACATAACAAGTGGTACCTACTACAATTTATACCTAATACCTATACCTACAAGTTTCAATATTCAATCATTTCACGTACTGCCTGCCTAACTTATCAGTATTTATTTGTGTAATATAATATAATTTTGTACCTATAATATTATATAAAAGTCCTCAAGGTTTTAAAAATTGAATAACTATATTTTGTTTGTTGAAAGTTATTTAAAAAACATTGAACTAAAACTTATAGGTAGGTACTGGTTCATGCAATGATACGTTCATCTATATTATAATTTATAATATTATCTTTTGTGGCTAAGATTTATATTCTTTTTATTTTTTATTTTATTTTTTTGTTTTAATTTGTCTGGTAATCTTAAAAGATCTAGTAATAGTTATTAGATAATTATTAGTCATTAACAACATTATAACTTACCGCATTAGCTCCTGCAATCGCCACGAACCAAGTGATTAGTAATAAGAATATAGTTACCAAAACAATGGGATTACCTTAATGACGTAAAAACAAATGTATTATTAGTGCTGCGTATTATAAAAACAATAATAATGTATGTATTACGAAAAATATATGAATCTACCAATTTGAAAGCATACCTGATAACTCGGATACATTGAACACAACTATCAACAGTGTCAAAATCTAGAATAGGTAATTTATCAATTTTAAGTGTGTAAATGATTTAATTTTGATAAAAAATAAAAAATTTATAATTTATTTATTTTATATTATGTATTTAATTCTTATAGAGTTTATAATAATCATTTTTAAAAATATCTTCGTACATGGGATACGATAATGAATATTTATCAGAAGATTATGAGAGGTTAATATAGAACTATTTTACCTATATATAATCAAATTTCGCACCTGAAAGTTCGTATTTAGTATAAAAAGCCTAAAAAATTAAGTTTTTTAAATTAACAATTAATTAATTTAATAATAATTCAAATAATTTATTAAAATTGTGGAGGGATAAATGTTATTATATATACCTATATAATGGAATAAATGAAGAATGGACTTGTACAATATTACAAATAGGTACCTACTAACACACCTACAATTTTCGAATAGAAATTGTCAAATGGGCTAAGTAAATATGTTTTAAAAATAAAATGTTGTAAATTAAAAAAGTACAAATCACTTGCCGTAAAAAATGCTGTTAGAACTGCCACTCCAAATTCTAATGTAAAAGACTGAACACATAAAAAATTATAATTAAAAAATGTCATTTTGGGTTTTTGTTGTAAAATTAATTTTATGAAATAATATTGTACCTAGTTATAATAAATTGTGATGTGTTCCTATACCTAGTGTTTATTATAATATTACTAAGCATCGTCACTACGGTGACTGGTTCAAGGAATCACGAATATTATTATGCATTATAGTTGATACACCTAAATGTTAATTTTATTAACGAATCAAATAATTATGGTAGTTTCACAGAGGCCTGTGGCAATGACTGACGAATATTCGGGTCCCCGAACTCGGTGATCGAGTGGTTTTTACGCGCATAATATTATATACCTTAAACTCATTACTATACTGTGCTAGTACGGTATATATTTACGATTTGCTTTATATTATAATAGTAGCTTGCGAGGACTTTTGCACGTTTAAATTCATCGTGACACACGAATGACACGGCCGTAGTAATAATGATAATAATAATATGTTTACGGGTTTTCATTGCTGCAGCAAATGACCCACAGTTGAGTTATAATATTATAAAATTATATTATAATTATCGTGTGCGTACATAAATACCTATAATTTTATACAGGCATAATAATTTGTGCCTATCAGCCTGTGTGTGTGTGTGTGTGTGTGTGTGTGTGTGTGTGTGTGTGTGTGTGTGTGTGTGTGTGTGTGTGTGTTTATAACGAAGACGTGACCTACCATAATAATAGTATATTCTTTGTAAGGATATAGTTGTCTACAATAATACGAGCGGTGAGAAATGCACTCGTGCTAACGAAAGGATGGCACCGGTAATTTCCATCGAGAACAATGCGAGTGGCTTTATCAAAAAAATTCTATCCTTCCGGACCAGATTTCGTTCCCGGAGAGCAAGTCCTTTTTTGGCCATTTGTCCTCTTTGGCGGAATACAATTTTTAGAAGAAAGTCATAAATTACGACATACCATTACTTTTCAGTTCTCACGATTTTATGAGTATGAGACGATTTCTTAAGAAGACACTGCACCCACATACAGTGGTGTACTTAGGATTTCGTATTGGAGGGATATGATTTTATCCAGTAGCCCCGCCTTTAAAGTTAGAGGCCTTACGTTAGAACTCCGAAAATGTTTGCATATTATATAAAGCCCATGAGGGGGCATTGATTTCCTTGAGTCAAGGCTTTTCGAAAAGTACAATTAAGAATTTTGAGAATACACAAACACCCACGTACCTAGGAGTCACCTTAGATAGGACATTAACCTTAAAAAGTAACTGCGAAAAAATCAAAATCAAAGTCGCAACACGAAATAACCTAATAAGGAATCTAACCGGGACAACATGTGGAGCTAACCCCCAGCTGCTACGAACCACTGCACTTGTCTTATGCCATTCAGCTGGAGAGTATGCATGTCCAGTATGGAGCAGATCGTGTCATGCGAAAAAGGTGGATGTAGCTCTAACACTGTTGTACAGTGATTATCACAAAATATAGTGTTATGTAATTTTGTTTAAATATTATAAGTACCTACTTTGTACACACCTACATTTTTTTTATATTAGGTACGGAGTAAATGAAAAAAAATCAATTGAATACAATAACAATAATTTATTTAATGTCATGTAGACGGATTTCGGGTACTGTAATTAACATACTTGATTTAAATATTCCTACGAGAGTATAATATTATATTCAGAATTTTTTATTTTATGGAATTATCGTCATCAATATTTTCATACAAAGGATTAAACGTAGATAAACTTAGTAGGTAGGTAGGTTGAGAAACATTTTATGTAATTATGGCATACAAGTATATAACAGCGTTTACATTGTGAGTTATGCGATAATATTATATTTACAATCGATATACATTATATAAAAGCGAATTTATGTCTGTTTCCGCCATGAAAATTTGGGAAATAGCTGAGTTAACTAGTGAAGATTTCTGGTATATTACATTCATTCCCTAAATTTGAAAATAGGAGGTTGAAAGAATACAACAGTAGCGGACTCTTTCCAGTAAAATAATATACAATTTCACAGTTTTAAGGCTGCATTTGCTTAGTTTTGCACAACTATATAAACTTGGAATATGTAATTGTGGTTCCTCTAATGTTCTGGATTTGCTTTGAAATTTCTTGTTTCGTTCCGTGGCACACGCATTATTTGGAAAATCATCGAGATATTAGTAGAAGAGTAATTAATTGGTGATCTTTCTTATAGATTACCGGTTGGCTATTCATAATTATTGTAGATATTATGAATATTTAATGAGCACAGTTGGCATAGATTCCCTAGGTAGGGGGCTAAGTTGCACTTACTGTAGCTCATCGTCGTGTCCACAATTCACTACAGGTGGATTGCGTACCTGATTTACTGCTTGCATATTGGCCGCGGATTGCCAACCTAAGTAACCAAGCTGCACGTAAATCAATTTCCACTCAACCTTACTAGACATATGAACCAGTTATTCGACTTTACACTTTTTACACACAAAAAAGCACCGGATGCGATGGCACAAAAAGCATAAGGAATATGA